AACTAAACAACAAAAGTCTAAGGAAAAGGCATTTGACGGGGGACATGATGTATAAAATGAGACGTATAAAATTATGCAGTGGAAGGATAAAGTGGATAGAGAAAAGCTCTTTTCCCTCTAACGCAATACTAGAAGCAGGGGACATCCACTCAAGTTGAGTGTTGAGAGAGTGAGAACAAACAAAGGAATGTATTTCTTCACCCAGAATGTTGTTAGTCTGTGGAACCCCTTGCCACCGGATGTGGTGATGGCATCTGGCTTAGATGCCTTTAAAAGGGAATTGGACAGATGCCATCACCACATCCTGGAGGAAAGGTCCACTGCAGGTTACAAGCCATGATGAGGATGTATAATCTCCAGGCTTAAAAGGAAGGTCTGGCTCCAAATGCCAGATGCAGGGGAGGGGTATCAGGAGACAGGTATCTTAGTTGTCTTGTGTGCCCCCAGAGGCATCTGGTGGGGCCACTGTGAGATCCAGGAAGCTGGACTAGATGGGCCCTTGGCCTGATCCAGCAGGGCTCATGTTCTTATGTAATGAAGTTGGAAGGGGCATACAAGGCCACTGAGTCCACCCTTATGCTCAATGCAGGAAAAGAAATCAAAGGATATCTGCCAGGTAGTTGTCTAAATTTCTCTTGAATGCCTTCAGTGTTGGAGCACTCACCACCTCTCAGAGTAATTGGTTCCATTTCCATACCACTCTAACAGTTAGGATGTTTTTCTTGGTATTCACCCAAGATCTGGCTTCCTGTAACTTGAGCCCATTGTTGTGTGTCCTGCACTCTGGGTTGATCAAGAACTGTTCCTGCCTCTCCTCTGAATGACAGCCTTTCAAGTATTTGAACAGTGCTATCATATCTCCCCTCAGTTTTTTTCTCAAGGCTAAACATGCTGAGTTCTTTCAGTCTTTCCTCACAGAGTTTAGTTTCAACCCCCTGCCCTAATTATCCTTGTTGCCCTCCTCTGAACTTGTTCCATTTTGTCAGCATCCTTCTTGAAGTGCAGTGCCCAGATCTGGACACAGTTCTCAAGTGCTGAATAGAAGGGAAATAGTACCTTTTTGGGTTTGGAGACTATACTGCTATTAAAACAATCTATACCATTTGCCTTTTTTGTAGCCACGTTACATGGCTTATATTCAACTTGTGATCTACGACAATTCTAAGAATCTTCTCACTAGTAGTATTGCTGAGCCAGGTATCCCCCATGTTGTAATTGTGTGTTTGGTTGCTTTCTCCTACATTAGCTCAGCTGTTTATCTATGACAGAAAATTTGAAGTTTGTGCACTAGCACTTAAACTAGGTATGGATAAGAAGTTTCAGATCAGAATACATACGATTTTTTCTCTTGGTAAGGAACACAATATACAGTTGGCTGTTTATCCTCTTCCAAGCCGATGATATGATTCAGGTGATAAACCAAAACAATGAAAAATACATACACTTAGAAACGCACGAGGAAAATAGATACAATTTTAAAATGCACACAAAAAAAATTCAGACTATAGAAAAAATGCATACAGCTAAAGAATGTGCACAAAAACACACATACCCAGAAGGACAGACACACAAAGAAATGGTGAGGGGGAAGCTTGGTATCTAATATGGGCCTCAAAGAACTGTTTATGAAGTCAAGCTTCCCAACTCACAACTTCTTAACAGAGACCTCATGTATTTACAGCAGCTCGATTCAAATCGTTGGCAGCTGTGACTGAGAAGGTAACCTTCTGGATCTTCCTGTATGAAATATAGATAGCCTGGAACTCTCATCCCTCCTTCGACTACAACTCTCATTCTTCACACAGTCCTTCTCCAACATGTTTATTGCATGAGTGCGCTTGTAATTCTTTTAATTACCTTAATTTTTGCCACACATATAGTTGCTTATTGTTTTTAGAATGCAAAAAGACTTTTCCCTCCCCAAAATAATGTTAATATAATGCAATCAAGGGACAAGCCACAAAACTCAAAACGAAGACAGAAATAAATCTCTGTGTGCTGCCAATCATGTATTGTGGTATACCTGACTGGGTGTTGTGCTGAAGTGGAAAGGAACAAAAATGTAAAACAAAAAACAAAAAAGCAAACAAACCACTGGTTGTCTACAGACAGAGTTCAGTAAAGACTGCTACAGAAGAGTTTCATAATTTTTCAGTAAATGCAACAACATTTCTCTTTGCAGGTTGCCCTAAAAGCAATAGTACCTAGCATATCTGCTTCAATCTATTTGCACCTAGTGGCAACTAGGACTCGGAAGAGCCAAATCTGCAGAGAAACAATGAGGGAGCAGGAAAGAAATGCAAACCACAAACTCCCTTTTCTTAGAAATGCATTTATTGCAAAGAAGTCATATCATTTGAAAGCAGTGCTTATTGTACAGTACAAAATTGTAACAAAGGCCTCTATTTACTGGAAAATGCTTGTTTTGCAAAAACTACCAGAGCATTTTCAGTTTTGCTGTATTTTTATTGTCATATAAAATATCTGTTGAATAATAAATGCTATCAACAGATCTCTTTGGTCCATTGCATAGTCTTCCATAATGTCAGCATTGGTATGACAATCCCCTCCTGTAAGAATCCAATGCTTTCCTCTCTGGAGTGTAGAATACTGACTTTGGAAAATCCGCTCTAGAACAAGAAATTTCTTGAGTAAAGCTCAGATATAGTAAAGCACCTAAAGTTATCAACAGTCGTAATCTAATGGCATATAGGACCCTGGACTGTTCAATAATACTGATAAGATAAACCAAAAGCTATTAAATTAATAAAGCACACAGAAAATATATCACATTTGCAAGTGGCAAATGATCATTTTAGCTGCAATTTTCCCAACTGGGATCAACAAAGTGCACAAGTAATTCATGTCTGTACAAACAATTTTCAAACATTAAATATACATACAGTGAGATATTTAAATATTTTGTATCAAATAGTTAAGGACAAATATAAATTACAGAACTTTTCAAATAAAAAATTACATCTGAAATATACCTTGATATTAGAGAATAGAAGAATACCTATTTTGCCTTTTTTAGAAACTATGTATTTGCAAGCCCTGGCAATGAAACAACGCTGAGAATCCATTAATAGCTCTTTGCCTCTCAAAGTTAAAGGCTTAGTGCTTAACATAAGGAACTTACAACCTTACTCCAATGATGCACTAGCTACAAAGTCAAGGAAGCAAGAGAAGAACGTAACAGTTTAACAGATGACACCAACCTCAACTGATTTTATCAACTAATGCCCAAGTTTGTTCTAGCTGATGATACATTACTGTAAAAAGGGAGATGTGCGTTATGCTCCCCCACCCCATATTCTATAATTCCTGAGGAGACTTTAAGTGGCATGAGCACGGTGGAGGTGGGATAGCTCGATGCAAAAAACAGTGGGGCACTTTGCCTGCACAATATTCAAGGGCCACTCCCTATTAATTTTAATAATTATCAAGTTGAGACCAGGCAGAAAAATACTCAAAAATAGCTTTACCTGCCCCTCTCTCTGATGGCACTCTGGGCCTAGGCATTCTGTCCAAGGCAACACAAATGGCCAGGCCATCAGCCCGGGAGCCACAAGTGTTCTGGGAGATCTTGGTTGACCCAGTGAGGTAATTCACTGAGCTTCTCAATCCCTAATACTTCCTGTTAAAAGGTTCTCAGGCAGCAGAAATGAGAATAACATATTTTGGTTGTGATTTTGGTGATCCATTAACAGAACAGACAAAACTAGTTTGGATAGAACTGTGTCCAGAATTAAAAGCCAACATAGGTATCATTGGACCAACGTGACACTCGAGAATGAAAGCTCCCACCTTGTTTGTAATTCCATTCCTTGTTTGTAAGAAATGGTCGTTTCCTCCATGTAAACACAGATAACTGTGCTATATTCAGACCAGTCTTTTAATTTCCACTCTTGATACCCTGGCTTAATTAACTGGAATTCAAACAAAAGATGGCAGTTTCCACTCCAGTGCAAATATTTTCTGTTCATTAATTTTCCTATTGAAAAAAAACAGTTCTCCCTTGCATCATTTAGTGGCTGTGGGGACCAGCAGTGCTATACTTGGGGAGCTCCTCAGCTACTTTAACTGATTTTCAGTTTGTGGGGTGGGAGTCTTTCTCCTTCATAACAGCTCAGGGAAGACTAAAACATTGAAAAAACATTGAAAATTGCCCCTTAGATTTGCCAAGTGTGAAGGTTGTGCTAGCTGCAACAAATTATGGTTTGTTCTCATGTCTGAACCAGGCCAGTACAATGCAGCTTCCGATATTCAGCAATATTTACCACTGTCACTATGAAGTTATAAAATGAAGGCTTAGAAAGGGAAAACAATGGTGCTACAATGAGAATCAGGTATCCAGGTCGATGGCAATACTTAGCCATTAAAATACCTTTAAAAGTCCACTATGAATTTGTTTTGATGGATTCATCAAGGAAAAAACCATTCGTTTTATGGGACAACTGCCACATCCCAAGGGTTTATTAGAAGCTCTTGCTGCTGCAGGGTTGCCATGTGATAATTTTTACTTTCTCTGTGGATACAGCACTGAACCAAAGGGATGCTAAACCCAGCTTGATATATGCCCCCTGGGGGGAAAAACAGGGATTGGAACTATAATATATTAGTTAAGTTTAATTCTTATTGAAATCAATGTGACTTGAATCATTACTAACCTGCTCACCTATTTCAGCAGCACTTACATTCAACTGAGTTTGGATCCAATCCAATAGTTTAGATGTCCACTTTAAAACAATGTCCTATTTATAACTTTTTAAAAATCATATAGTTCACTAGGTTGTGACGAGAATAACATGGGAAGGCGCAAAAGCATGTATGCTGCCTTGAGCTTACTGGAAGGATATAAAAGTAACTAAAATAATGGAGTAAATGGTTTGCCAATCAGGTGTTCACCTCATTTCATTGCCACACAGTCAATTAGCCCATAGTTGACTATCATCAAGATAAGCAGATTTGCCTCCCTGCTCTTTTTTTTTTAAAAAAAAGGTTGGATTTACATCGTAACAGGAAGAGCACCTTCTTTTTGTAGTCAGTAAGATAGCATGTGAAGATGAACAAGTCTGGAGAAATTCAGTACCAGAAAATTGTTCAACATGGGATCTTTTGATCCTTCATAGCCCTCGACTAGGCCTAGGGGAGAGGAATGATGAAAACTACAGAAGGCACATAGGTATAACATACAACACACACAAGATGCAATTCTGCCTGCAGAAAAGCAGGAAATATAAACCTTTCCTTCATCTGGAAAACATAAAAGAAAAGTGACAATTCCATTGTTTATCAGAGATTCCAACATGCCCCCTGAATTTAGTCTATAGAAATGTTTATGCTTGGGCTAAAGAAAATGTTTCCAAATCATCTGATTGCCAGAACACTTATTAAAACAGTGCTATCAGTGCACAGATTATGTTACAGAGTAACATATAACACAAAATGTAAAATACACAAATGTACGTCTTCAATCAAAACCAGAGAATTGTTGTTGTAAAAATGCAGTAATAGAATGTAGGCTGAATCTAGACTAAAGTGCAAGCTTGAGCATATCTACTCAGAATTTAAGTTCTACACAGAACAACAGGACTTGCTCTCTATTGACAGTGCCAAGGACTGTACCCTCAGGATGCAATCCTCTACACAGTTACCTGGCAGGAAGTCTCTATGAGTACAATAACAATGAGACTTCACGCTTGAGTAGACATGTTCAGGATTCCTCTGCAAGTTACATACACTTAATTGAAACTAATGGAAATTAACTTTTCACATTCATTCCAAATGGATATATGACTAACTTAGCCTGGACACAAACCTTTTTCTCTGCAGCACAACACAAACTGTGTTTGCATTTTTATTTGTTTTCAGAGCCAATAGTTTGGATACTATTCTGAACTGGATGCCACCCTATGCTAGTCTAATCCACAACCCAGATCACTCAAAAGAGTCAGCATTAAGTACTGGAATTAAGCACTGGAACAAAACAATGCTAATATAATTAGTAGAGCTGAAACTGAGTTGTGGAAAAGGCTGCCTAGGATAAATTCTGATTTCTGTACAACTGGGCATCATAAGCTGTAAAAATCATATCTGACCCAGTTTGATAAATATTATATTTCCCCTTTCAGGAAGTCTCTAGCTAGGATCAATCAATATCCCGTATTTTAAAAGCTCCAAAGTAAGTTCCTTCTGGGGAGCGATCCAGTAATGATGGGTGTGATACCTGTACACCTACTATTTCACCAGATTTCAATTTGAAAAAACCTCCCACATTGACAGAATAAAAGTGAAACTCTGAGTCTCCCGACCAATTCTTTGTACTTCCTCCCTTCATCAGGACTACAGAATTTCTCCTTTTAACATCAGTTTTTGTCACATAAACCATCAATTGAAGAATTTGTCCAGTTAGGTTCCCCAGTGTCTCATGGTGCCTAAAGCATACACTGGCGTACAGGTAATAAAAGCCATCATGGTTGGCTATTAATCTTCCATCACTGAAGGTCATGTTCAGTATGTTTGCCCAGCCTTTGTCATGATGCCAGGATGTGAGATTCACTTTGCCAGTTCCTACAAGGAAAACAAATTAGAAGAAAAAGTTGCTTTACCCTGAAGCTCAATTTCACATATAAATTATGCAGCATATAAATAACACTTTCTGCAATTGTTCTTCCACCTTGGGAATAGAGATGGTTATCCTTTTTTTATCATTCTGCTACACAAAGGATAAATAAGACATAAAGAAAAAAAGCTGTTCCTGCCATTCAAATGGTATACAGTTGGTTTTTGAGCCTGTTTCTACTGCATCTTCATGCTACAGATCAACTCCAGAGAATATACTGTAGAGTCTTAACTCTTGACCTCTCTTTCTTCCTCTATTTGTTTGCTGTCGTCAACTGGTTCTTTAGGGAGCCCATAACTTTTAACCCAGTTTACTTCTTAAATACCTTGGACTTCAGCCTCCTCCATTTTTCTGGTCTTTTTCCTCCACTGTGGATTCAATTGTAGCATAATTGTGTGGCATGGGCAAACTACAGCGTTATACTTGTGGTGTATAATGAGTAGAAAAGAAAGCTTACACTCCAAATGCTTTTTCTTGAAGTCTTTACACAAAATAGATTGTTTATAGGTGGAAGTCAAGGCAACAGAAACTAGTAATTTATCTCTCCAACACAGCCTAGTCTTGGCCCATAGGATCTTACTAGTTATGCTTGTGCTGGCACAGTCAGATGGTGGGTAACCACATAGTTACTGTTTAAACACTCACCACATGATGGTTTTCTCCTACATAAAGCAACACATGTTTCTAAACTCCAGCCATATGTTTCAAGCTCCTGAAAAACACAGGTAGGGTGCTTGGAAACATTTGACTCAATGGATAGATAGCAAATAAAGATCACTGGCTCTCCAGAACACTGCGGGAAACTTTATATGGGCACCAATATAGTAAAGATCAGCTGTTTCATTCTTTTGCACAAGAGTTTATCAAATCCAGAGTCTGAAAGTTGATTTTTAAATTTTATTTTTTCAGTCCATAAATCCTCTTCCTTTTGGCCATTTAACTGACCAGTCTAATTTATACGAATTCCTGCTCTGTCCTGGAAATAGATGTAGAAGTATTTTGGAGACACTGTACAAGGTGCAACATAATTATCATTTAATGACTTCAGATTCTGGTTTTCGGGACAACTACAAACCAGTCATATGAAAAAGTATACACTTTTTGAATTCTATGGTTTTACATAACAGCACATAATCAAAAGCATCTGGTCCTTAGCAAGTCTGAAAAGTAGGTAAACTCATCTGGTCCTTAGCAGGTCTGAAAAGTAAGTAAATACAACCTCAGATGAACGACAACACATGACATATTACACCATGTCATTATTTATTTAACACAAATAAAGCCAAACTGGAGAAGCCATGTGTCAAAAATTAAGTACGATTTTTAACAACTCAGATGGTTTTTATTATGTGCTGATATGTAAAACTATCATAGAGTTCAAAGAGGGTGCATATTCTTTTTCACATGACTGTACATTAATCCAGACATTATTGCAAATCACAGTTTTGTCCCCTTCACCACTGGTTAGCACGGTAATTTATAATAGCCTAACTGAGACACAGCAAAAATAAAACATTAACCTACATAATCAGTAGAAGTGTCACTTTTGAAAAAGATTTTAAAAAGAAACTTACCAGCTGGAATTTTATTGCCATCAATGATGAGATGGGCAAATGGAGGTTTGTCAGGTTTGTTTTTCTTAGGCAAGTCCAACCAAGCTGTTCCTGTTAGTGCTACAGGGAAGACATTTCACTAAGATAAATGCAGAAATCAAAAAATGACTTAAATATTTCCAATAGTTAAGAGCCTAATACTTACATTTCTCTGATCTTGACTCGTCCTTCTCAATAATGATTCGTTGGACTTCCTGAAAGCAAAACCAAAAAAATTCACCATGCTTATTATTTGCGGACTTATGATGTTGGTCAGTGTGTTGTGAGATCAATGGAACTGCTATATTTCAACCTCCAGGAAGGCCTCCTTACTAGTCTCCACTATTCTACATGTTCATATACAGAGACATATCTCCCAAGGGGCAAAATCTTGACAAGTTACAGCTCAGCACAGAACATCATGCTGTATCTGGCAATCCCATCACATGTCATCTTCCTCTTCCTCCAAAACAAGGGAGAATCTAACTCCTCATGACATCATTACACTGAGCATTTAGCAGGGTAAGGAACAGTAAACGTAACAGGCCTGTTCATGCATTACTCCTGCAAAGGTGGTATCCATTCACCCAATGGGATAGCAGGCCTAAACTTTTAGCCCTGCCTGCAAAGTAGCACTGCAAAGTTCTAAAATGCTAAAGAGCCTTGATAGTTACCAGAAGCCCCTTGCTGTAGAGGTAATACTGGGCAGGGCACTAAAGGAGTGACAAGACTTTGGGGAAGGTCTAAATAGGCATCCCTACCACCCTCTTTACCTCAGATGATCATTTTCATATAAATAACACAGAAACAGGGTTATGTCAGTTATTACGGCATGAGTATCTCCATACCATCTAAGCCTAAGCCATACAGAACGATGGGAACTGGCTGTGTGAGTGACACGGAGTAAAAAAGATCAGAATCGTCATCTTGCAGGAAATCCAGTGGTTTGTATCTTTGTAAGTCAGGAAGGAAATAGAAATGAAAGCCTAGAACTACTAGCTGAGAGCATTCACGGTCAATGAGTATATGTATTTTTGGAAGGATTTTCGTGGTGGATAGAGGAGAAGGAAGATTATGATTATAAGCAAAATATGTAAGAGATAATGGTCCCTAGGGGGAGGCATGTGCCAGTATAGTGGTGCCTCACTAGACGATTGCCTCGTGGGACAAAAAACCTGCAAGACGATTGGTTTTTGCAATCACTATGGTGCCTCGCAAGACATTTTTTTCTATGACCGTGCTTCACAAGACTTTTTTTTGAGACCAATGCTTCGCAAGACTTTTTTTTTTTAGACTGATGCTTCGCAAGACTTTTTTTTTTAGACTGATGCAGAGGGAACCTTGCAAGACGATTTTTTCACAAGACGATGATTTTCGCGGAACGAATTAAAATTGTCTTGCGAGGCACCACTGTATTTTGATTATATATTAAGTCAGTTTTATGTGTTAATAGTATATATATTTTGGTTTTGCTAACAAAAATTCAATAAATAAATAAACAAGACTTGATGGAAAGCTGTGTAAAAGGAAGAATTTCAGAAGGCCTTTTTCCCCCAACTGCATGACAAGTTGCACCCACCAAAATTCCTGTTTCTGTGCAGTTCTAGACACACTGGAGCTGTGTTCTCCTGAGCATTTGGTCACCACATAAACTAACGCTTGAAGAAGTACATGACTGTTTTAAAAAGTCAAAGAGGGACATTTATTGCTGGTTAAGGAAGGCCCTGGATATGAACAAGTTGAAAGATGGTCCACATTATTGTTTCTCAATCAGGCACTGGAAAAAAAATTAAATGAGTTGTCAGAGCCATATAGCTTAACCCTCTGAAAATGCTTCAAAGCATTCATGTGAAAGGGCTCTTAATGTACACTGGGGCACGTATGTGGATCTTCTGCATGAAAGGAGCTTATCTAATTCAATCAGATCTTTCCTTGGACAGAGACGTTCCAAACATAAAATGGAGAAATTTCCCCTTTTTCTTGCATTCTAGGCAAGTATCTCTAGTTGGAGGTGGGTAAGGGAGGACTGGCCATAGTATGTGATGGGGTTAGTGCACATGTCCAAGATCTGACTTGCCCATTCCTCCAAACTGGAAGAACCACCCTGAACGCTTTCTAAACCATGTCAATAGGGAGCTGCCTCTGTGATTTCTTATTCTGCAAAAGATATTGTAAGAGGTACTGTACCTTGCATAGCACCAAATTCCAAAGCAGCCACGGCAGCATTTATAAATGGTTGAGAGGGTGGCATAATTCACTATCTGGACATAAAGCAGGGGTGTGGAATTTATAGGCCAACAGGACCTGGAAGACCACAGTTCTCACCAGTCTTAGCCAACATAATCAGTGATGAGGATCATGGGAGCTGTACTCCAACAACATCCAGAAAGCCATAGGTTGTTCACTCTTGATATTATTTGTTAACAACATTTCTGTGTAGGTTAGTATGATTTACACATTGTAGGTGTAGGGATAAGGTAGGGAGGAAAGTCCTGTTTACTTGTGCCATGGCAAAAAAGTACATGAGAACAGGGAGTGCAGTAGGACCCCTGTGTCCATGGGACTGGCATCCACATTTTCACTTTTCCATGGTTTGGCACAGCCCTACATACAAAGGTACCCTCTTGTGGTTTTTCTCCCACCTCCTTCCATATTCTATAAAGAGTTCACTTGTAGCTGCAGTTTTAGGCATCCACAGCAGATGGTGGAACAAGGGTGATGGTCTGTAAAAGAGAGGGTCTCTATTGGTAGAAGTTTTTAGGCAGCTTAGAATCCTGTAAAATCAAGTTTCTCATGAATAAAGAGATTTTCAGGGGACAGCTAAGGTTATCCATTATAGAAAGTCACCCTCCATGTGTGCAGTGGGTGAAAATGATGGTAGAAAGTGGATATAGTGTATTCCTCCTCTACCTCTTCTGTTGATTCAACATACTTAACGGGCTGGCAGAAGCAAGGTGTGATCTGCTGTATTTCCTGACTTGCATCTCAGTCTTTTAAACTTACTACTTTTTGCAGCACTGTCAAACTGTACCAGCTAGAACTTCAGTGATTGTAAGTTTCTTAAATAATTGAAACATCCTCAGAAATCCAATTCACCGTGTTCCCAAACTACATAGTATATATCATGTATTCACAAACCAGGAGAGACTCTATTTGGATAACATTTTTGCTAAATATTCTTAAACAAGGTGACAAATGGATCTTGGGCAGATGCTCTTCTCTCTTGTCCTGCCGCTAACCACTACACTTTATGCCTGCAGGCCACGACTGTGGAGAGAAGACTTTCAATAACCACCTCTTCAGCCTTCTCACATGCATTAAATGTTTCCTAATGAAAGGCCAATGGGAGAGCTAACTTACAAAGTACTTTGATGCCAAGTGTAACACGATTTCTTCCCCAAGCTGAAAGGATCTGGAAACCCTGCCAAGAGGAGGGGGTGGAAACCTCTCCATAAATTGACCCTGTGTTTGCCAATATCTCTTTCCTGCCAAACTGATGGTGCACTCTTCCATCCTAGAGTGTGGTTTGCAACTCTTAGGAATCAAAGGCATTCTATGGTCAGAGGCAAGGAACCAGAAAACTACCTACTAGAAAGGGATATATGCTTTGCCTACCTTGTTTGGATAAATCTGATGTGTGAGGAAATTTACAAACTCTTGCAAATAAGATTTATGAAGAAAAACTGGTGCCATAATCTTCAACACTTTTTGAACGGAAGAAATAGCTCTTCTAAATAGGGCATTTGTACCACAATTTGTTCCAAGTTCTTTCACTGATTGTCTTGGATTTTGTTCCTCATGTCCCAACAAACCATTCCTCCCATCTCACTTTGTATTACCCCCTTCCCCAAATTCCTGGACTTCTTCCACTCCGTCAAAAGTCTTGGGTTTTTTTTTTCTTCCACTTTGCACCAGGGTTGGAGATCAATATTAAGGAGTTTCCCAAGACTTTCAACATTATGCTTTTCAGAATTTCAGCACAGAAGAATTTTACAGAGGAATAGTGGACACTTCCCGGATACTGCAAACTAAAGTGGAGAGCAGGCACAGTCATGATGTAGAGAGGAATGTTTCAGAATCCTTCCAGGTGATGCAGGTGCCATTCTGTGCTTGACCCAGAGTTTGGAGCATTCAGTTTAAAAATGGATTTGTTAGTGCTAAGTATTAAATTTGAGAATTAATTTCTTGCAATTACTGTTAGAAAATGAAGGTACTAATTTGTTACTCAGCTTGCTAGACCTCAAATGGTGGGATTTACAGGGTTCCTTCACTTTTGACCCTAAATGGGTCATTGGCTTCTTCAGAAGTACACTTTCAATTGTTTTATAACTGATTTTTCAGATGGACGAGAAACGCATAATATACTTGCTGGCTAGCAATGGTAATTCCAATGGTAAAACTACTAGATAAATAAAGAGTAAGAGTCCTAACACAGGATCTCATATTTCTTCCTCCCACAGACAGAGACAACTGTGTAAATTCAATAGTCTAATTTCATCTTACTTCTCTTCACATTGTAAAATTTCACTCCCAAACCATCCTGGTGGAAAAAAATAACTAGTTAGTCTCATAGGTGCTAGTTACTATGTTTTCTCTTTTGTTACAAATCATGGCTACTTTTTTGTTACAAAATATGGCTACTTGTTACATTATAGCTTTCCAGTGTTCTTCATTACATATGGTTATTTTAAGCCCACTTTCTTCATTGCAGCTATTTATTTTTTCAAATTCTGGACTACTGCAGTTTAAAAACCTTGTCATGTGCCATCAAGTGACATCCAACTTATGTCAACTTATGTCAACATGTCAACTTATGTCATCAAGTGACATCCAACTTATGTCAACTTATGTCAACATGTCAACTTATGTCATCAAGTGACATCCAACTTATGTCAACTCTAACAAGAGTTTTTGATGTACATGAGATGTTGAAGGAATAATTTACTATTTTGCACAAACAACCTCCAAGCTGTCCTGAGTGCTAATCCAACACTCTATCCACCACACTACACTGGCTCCAATTAAAATCCAGTGCCGTAATTTTTATTAACCAAAGTTGTGGGACATTAGAATCCCTCAAAAGCAATCATGAGGAGATGGACCAAGAGATTTCTACACAAGGGGCTCCTAGAAAAGTGAGTACTGTACGCATAAAGTAGCTAGTACTCTGTCAGCTTTAAAACAGCCCTAGATTAGATTGTAATTGCATTTAAAT